TAGCCCTATGTACACAGACGCAAGTCCATTTTCATCTGGCCATCCATAGATCAAGCATGGGTCCGGAAGTTCAAATGTTAAAATGTCAAAAAATACTGAACGAGAGTGAATGTCACAAAAGTGATATCTGCCCTGTTCTGCTCCAAATCAGCAGGGAATCTGTTCACTGGACCAGACATGATCAATGTTGAAGGATCCAAAATATTATTCAAAAGTCAAAAACTTGTTAAAAAGATTGATATAAAATTATGTTGCCTTTTTTACAAACATGATGAAATTGATCTTTCAGGATAATATTTTAAAGAGCAACTCCACTTTTGTTGAGAAAAACACATTTCCTTCTGGGTGATCCATATATATTGCAAATGGTTTTAACAAACTTTGTTGGAGAGTCCTACCTTTTGTTATTCTGAAGACAGAGCTATTTGTTCTATTTATAAATAAAACAGCGCAAAATAGACCTACATACAAATATTAGTAAATCACAAAACATAAATGTCCCATGTTCATTAGTGCATATCTTTGTCAAAAATCTTCAAGAAAAAACACCACAGAACCACTTGTGATGAAGACTAAGGATTCCAAATAATTCTAGGATCAAAGAAAACTTCCACCTATCACCCGTGTACACCAACATCAAATGCACTCACCAGATTTTGGTGAATGAAAAGCCTTTAAGGATTTTGGGGAATCCTAAACCCTCTTTTCATCAGCTCTATGGTAGCCTGCCCCACCAGGTTAAGATCTTCTTTCAGGTCCTCACCGTAGCTTCCTAATTTGCTCCACCGAATCACCAAAGAAAAAACTTATATAGTGTAATATTGCCAGATCAATGTTGAAACAAAAGAAAAAATCCAGGCCACTCACATTTTACCAGCTTGTAAAAGGCACATTTATTAAGCAAATACCAGCCTCATAATAAGAACCAGCTCACAGCCACATATTCCAGGATTCTCACACCAATGTAGCCAGATGGAGCAGAGGAACAGCAGAGAACTAGCACAAATCCCACAAAATGGCCGCTGGAACGCACTGCTCGGCGTGCATTCCACTCACCGGAAGTGACGTTAGAAGTATAGCGTATGGACCGGAAATGCGAAAAAGAGCTATTTGTTCGTCTGTTTCCATGTGGAAAGTGAATCTAATGGGAGTGGTTTCATAATTATTAATCAGCTGCTGCACTTGCAGGGCGCTAATGACGATAATGTCAGGGTCTGCATCCCTTTAGATGTGATTTCCTATTGGGAGTAACTAACCAAAAATGATATTTTTATTGCAAAAGGATACCTGAAATCTGATTTGTAGCTCAATGCACACTTCTGGAAAAATCAGTGAGCCAATCTGGTCTGGCACTTTTTGCTGGCTAATAACTAAAGAGTGGGAAAATTGAGTTGAAAGTGATAAACAGTTTTACTTTTGACTGCTGGTTCTTGTAGCTGTTTCATTTCTTCTTTGGCCTTGTTAGAAGCTTTTACTTTTTTAAATCACTTTTTCAATAGCATTTTTTTTCTTCCTTTCCTTGCCTTCCTTCCGTCTGCTAATTAAAGGGGGGGGGGGGGGGGTTAATTGGTCACAGGTGCTACAGGTACTATATAACTTTCTGTAGAGCTCACTCTGAGCTTGCTCATTCTTGAGCTTGCCTGTATTTTGCTTGCTGGACCTTTGACCAAGTGGACATTTGATTAAGTGGAGTTAACCACTTGCCTACCGGGCACTTATACCCCCTTCTTTACCAGGCCAATTTTCAGCTTTCAGCGCTGTTGATCTTTGATTGACAATTGTGCGGTCATGCAAGATTTTACCCATATGAATTTTTTATAATTTTTTTTCTCACTAATAGAGCTTTCTTTTGGTGGTATTTAATCGCCGCTGGGCACTTTACTTTTTGCGCTATAAAAAAAAAGTGCAAAAATAAAAAAAAAAAAAAAGTTTCTTTGTTTCTATTATAAAATTTTTCAAACAGGTAATTTTTCTCCTTCACTGATGTGCGTTGATGAGGCAGCACTGATGGGCACTAATAGGCGGCATTGATGTGCACTGATAGGCAGCACTGAAGGGCACTGATAGGCAGCACTAATGAGGTGGCACGGATAGGCAGCACTGATAGGCAGCACTAATGAGGTGTCACGGATAGGTGGCACTGATAGGCGGCACTGAAGATGGGTACTGATAGACAGCACTGATAGGTGGCACTGACTGGCATCACTGCTGGGCACTGACTGGCGGCACTGCTAGGCATTGACTGGCGCAACTGCTGGGCACTGACTGGTGGCACTGACTGGCACATGGCGGCACAGGAGAGCGGAGAATAGGAGCTCTCCGATAGCCTCCCCCACCTATCCTCCCTAAATTGTCCCGAGGGACTGACTAGCTGAGTCGGAGGGCGGCTGGAGACTGACCTGGTGAGAGGGGAGATCCCGGCGGTGATGCGGCTGTCGGCCGGAGAGCGGAGGGGTTGAGTCTGTCTTCCCCCATGAAGTCTGCCTGCGGTGATCCTGGAGAGAGAGTGTGAGGTTGCCGGGCGACAAGGAGGAGTGGCGATAACACGTGGGCTGCCGAGGTGTACAGCTGGGAGAGGAAGAGACCGGCCGGCGTCTTAGGAGACAGGGGAAGCGCTGACATCCATTGCAGAGCTGTCTCCAGGGATTTCTCGGGGTATATGCAGAGGAGGACAAAAGAGACCCAAGGGAATTCCCTGGAAGAGGAAGACACGGCTGCAGGAGAAAGGGCAACCCTGGACTGCAAACCAGAAGCTGCTCCATAGAGGAGGGTGAGTGAAAGCTGCGGGTCTCCCCAAGTGTTAGTTATTCAATTTGTGTTATTGACTATCTGACATCCAACATAAAGAATAAGAAGGGAATTCCCAGAGAGGGTCTGAAGAAAGCAGTGACAGTTTAAGTATATACCCCAGAATCTTGGAAAAGCTCTAAAAATCCTATATGTGATATGAAAGGGAAAAATAGTAAAGGAAGTATGCCCAAGAACTCCCAAACTGGAACGATAAAAAAATACACGTCGCAAGGGAAGTTAACTCCAGTAAAATCCCAGGAAATAAGTGATAGGAGTGAACTGGAAATAAGCCTTGATAATAGCTTAAGATCTTCCCTGGGACCAGTTAACAATAGCCAACAAACACTGGAAAGTATGGAGTTGGGAGAAACTGAAAAAGAACTGCAAATACCAAATAAAAAGGAAATGGCGGAGATGTTTAAAAATCTAGAAAAATCCATAAAGCAAGAGATGGGGATAATTCGGAAAGAAATGGGACAGTTGTTAACTAGAGTGGAAGAAACGGAGGAAACAGTTAAATCCCACACCCAAATCATCCCAAAATTAGAAAAACTGATAATAGATACTCGGAAGGAACAAAAAAGACTGCTTTATATGATGGAGGATCAAGAAAATAGGGACAGGAGAAACAACATTAGAATAAGAGGAGTCCCAGAGCTGCAACAGGGGGAAGACCTAAAGGAGATTATAGGAAAAATTTTGAACGCCATAATGGATAGATCTGGTGCGGAAATGTACAAACTGGATGGAGTGTACAGGATAGGAAAGTTTCAACAAGAACAAGGCCCAGAAAAATCAAGAGATACAATCGTTCGGTTCCATAATTATAGAGATAAGGATGAGATATGGAAGAAGATTAAAGGAAGAACGAACATCAATTATGGAGGGAAAAGTATTCAAATTTTTGCAGACATAGCAGCTGAGACACTGAGAAGAAAGAGATCATTGAAACCATTATTGGAATTGTTGAAGAAACAGAATGTGCAATATAGATGGGGTCGATCAGCATGTTTGATCGGTTGGAAAGATGGAGTTACAGCTTTTTTGAGATCCCCTGAAGATATGAAAGACTTTTGTAATAAATTTGAACTGCAGAGAATAGAGATACCGGGATGGGAAGAGGAGGAGAGAGCGTTATATATGTTGGGAAAAGAGGAATGGCAGCTAGTTAGAAGAGAAAACAGAGAGCAAATAGATAGAGGGACACCGGGGAGGAGGGGGGGGGGGAGGTGAGCGGTACATGGACGGAGCTGAGCCCCCAGATAGGAATCAAAAGTGGGACTCTTTCCACAAATGATTTATAGGCAAATAAAAAGCCTACCGGGGGGGAGGGGTTTATAATGGGGGGGGGGGGGGGGGGGAGGGGGGGGAGGGGGGGATGGGGGGGGGGGGGGGGGGGGGAGGGCTGGGAGAGGGGAGGGGTGGGATTGGGGATAGGGAGTCTTAAAACTGACATCTTGTATGAGAGAAGAGGTATAGGGAAGGGAAAGAGGAAAGGAAATGGTAAAATAGGAAGAAGACAAATAAAACATGGAGGAAATACGCTTTGTAACCCATAATGTAAATGGATTAAATTGCCCGGGTAAAAGATTTCGACTATATAGAGAACTACAACATAGAGAGGCCTCAGTTGTTTTTTTTGCAGGAAACACATCTAGAGTTAAAAAAAAATATTAAGCTATACTCTAGACAACATCCTACATGGTATTACGCAGATTCCCCAGTTAAGAGAGCTAAGGGAGTAGCTATAGGATTTGCAAAAAACATCAGGTTTGAATTGGAAGATAGAAAGACGGACCCGGAGGGGAGGTTTTTGTTTTTGAAGGGTAAATTACATGACATAGAATGTACGCTTGTAAACATATATTGCCCTAATAGGAAGCCAGAGACGTTTTTGAAAGGGGTTATGAGAAGGTTGATGGACTTTGGAAAGGGATATCTAATAGTGGCGGGTGACTTTAACATATGTATGGATCCACAAATAGATACAACATCTGGAGTACAGAGAAGGGGAAATAGGTCCATGGGATTATTGAAAACGGTGATGAAAGAGTGCCAACTGGTGGATAGCTGGAGAATTGTCCACATAAGAGAGAGAGATTATACTTTCTTCTCTAGTGTACATAGGACATACTCTAGATTGGACTATATTTTGGTGGACCACCGACTTGTTGAGGATTTGGTTAAAGTAGAAATTGAAGCAATAACTATCTCGGACCATGCACCTGTAGTAATGGAATTAAAATGGGGAGGGAAAATGTCAGGTGGCCTATCATGGAAGTTGAATGAGACACTCCTCACGGATCCAGATACTGACCGGAAGATCAGGGAGGAGATAGAGAGGTTCTTTGAGGAAAATGAAACAGAGGATGTATCACTAGCGACAGTGTGGGAGGCACATAAAGCATATGTAAGAGGAATCCTTATTGCGATTGGGGCAAAGAAAAAAAGGGAAAGACGAGAGAAGATCAGTGGGCTTTTGAAGGAAATAGCTGAGATGGAACTCCTACATAAAAATAACATAAGGAAAGAGATAGAGCAAAGAGTGATAAAAAAGAGGGAAGAACTAGAGAAAGTAATGGAGGAAGAAAAAATGAGAACTTTTAATAAGATCACTGGTGAAAGATATAGATGGGGAGATAGACCAGGAAAATATCTGATGAGAGCCTTGAGGAGAAAGAAGAATAGGAACTATATAGATAAAAAAAAAAACTCCAAGGGAGAGTTAGTCCATTCAACTAAAGGTATTGCAAAGGTATTTAAAGATTACTACAGTAAATTATATAATATTGCCCCTAAGGATGTTATAAATAAAGATAAAATGATAAATATTGAAAAAAGAAGGGATTATTTAAGAAATGCAGGATTACCAAAACTAAGTGAAGAACTATTAAACTCCTTAGAAGCTGAAATCACACAGGAAGAACTAAAAATAGCATTAAAAAGTTTTAAGACGGGAAAAAGCCCAGGCCCAGATGGATATACTGTGAGGTATTATAAAAAATATAGTGATTTACTGTTACCTAAATTAAAGAGATATATGGAGGCGTTAGGAGGAGAGATGGAGATAAGAAAGGAATCCCTTCTGGCACAGGTGGTTTTAATACATAAGGAAGGTAAAGATATCACCCATTGTTCCAGTTATAGACCGATATCGCTATTAAATGTAGACACGAAGTTGTATGCAAAAGTATTGGCGAATAGATTAAGAGACCTGATGCCAGATTGGATCCATGGAGATCAGGTGGGTTTTGTCAGAGAAGAGAGGGTCGAGATAATGGGTTGAGGTCCCTGATGCTTATACAGAAAAGTAAAATGGAAAAAAATCCAGTAGTGCTGCTCTCGATAGATGCGGAGAAGGCGTTCGATAGGGTTAATTGGAATTTTATGATGGATACACTGGAGGTCCTGGGATTGGGTAGTAGGATGAGAAAGTGGATTGGAAAGTTGTATGAAGGACCGTCCGCGATGGTAATGGTAAATGGAGAGAGATCAGAGACCTTTTCAATGTCAAATGGAACTAGACAGGGATGCCCACTGTCCCCATTGTTGTTTGTCCTATCATTGGAACCCCTGTTATCAACAATTAGGAAAAAATATAGATATAAAGGGAATAAATGTTGGAAAGATAGAACATAAGATAGCCGCATTTGCGGACGATTTATTATTCTATGTTGGAAACCCGAGGATAACACTTCCTAACCTAATGAAAACATTGAAGGAATATGGGGAAATGTCAAATCTAAAAATTAACCTGAGCAAAACAGAGATATTAAATATAAACCTTCCAAAAAGTGAAAAAGAAAATATACAGAGAGAGTTTCCCTTTATATGGAAAAATAGAGAAATAAAGTACCTGGGGGTAAAACTTACTCCCTCACAGATGAATCTTTATAAAGCTAATTATATCCCAATGTTAAACGAAATCAGAGAGGAATTGAGGAAAATGGGTGGAGGAAATCCTTCCTGGTTGGGTCGTATCAATCTGATAAAAATGGTAATTCTCCCTAAGATACTGTATAAATTCCAGATGATACCCATTAATCTTCCAGAGGTGTATTTTAGGACAATTAAGCGAATGGTAACTAAATATATATGGAAAAATAAAAAACCTAGGATATCATATGAAGTGCTAAGTAGAAATAAAGAAAAAGGAGGGTTGGGAGTCCCGGACTTCAAAAGATATCATAGGGCAGTCATCCTAGCAAGAATTTTTGACTGGACACATAACTCAAAAAGTAAACATTGGGTCACAATTGAAAATACACTTAGTGGAAAGGATTTGGGTAGGAGTGTATGGGAGCCACCACAATTTAGAGAATTAGAAGAGAGCACGAGTGTATACACGAGGATTGTAATAAGGGGAGTGGGATAAAATACACAAACAGAGGAAATGGGGTTTTAATTCACTATTAATGTCACTAAGAAATTCAGATTTTTTCCCCCCAGGTAAAGAGGAAATTTCAGGTAGATGGATTATAAAGGAAGACGCTCAGCTGAGAGATATAATGGAGGGGGTAAACTTAAGAACACTGAAGGATTTGAAAAAGGAAGAGGGAAGGATTTTCACTGGAATAGATATATGGAGATATAATCAATTAAAACAATTCGTGGAGAAACTGACGAAGCCCCTTAGAACTAGGAAAGAGTGGAATGAATTTGAGAAATACTTAGAAGACCGAGGTGACGGGAAACACAGCACTGCTAAAGCATATAAAGCTCTCACGGATTTAGATAGTAAGTTTAAATTAAAGTATATAGAAAAATGGGAAAAGGATTTAGGAGTGGAGTGGGAAGAGCACACACAGAGGAAAATATATAGAATGGTACACGAAAATATTAGTATGCGTGAAGTGGAAATGAATTTTAAATGTTTGACAAGGTGGTATGTTACACCGGTGATAGAGCACAAGATGAGGGAGGAGAAACAACCATGGTGTTGGCGAGGATGTGGAGGATTGGGCACGATGTATCATATATGGTGGGAATGTCCAAAAATACACATATATTGGGAAAAAGTTATAAATCAAATCACGATTATCACTGGAATGGAGATAGGATTGGACCCCGAAATCTGTCTTTTCCATAATTCAATATTATCTGGAAATAAATATAAAGAACTGGGTATATTGAGCTACCTAAATGCAGCAAAAAGTCTGATTCCTAAGTTTTGGCGTAAAGTTGAGGCACCGAGGGAAGATGATTGGATGAATAGAGTGGACCAGATTGCTAGATTGGAAAAACTCTTTTATATACAGGAAGATAGGATGGTGACATATCATATGAAATGGGAGAAATGGGAGGAGTTTAAAGTAAAGCTAAAGAAAGGTACTGAGTAAGTAAGCATAAGAAAAGGGAAAGAGAGGACAAGAAGAAAGGAAGGGAAAAGGGGAAAGGATAAGGGAAAAGGAGAAAATATAGTAATTAGCCTGTCTTTCTTACTTTTTCTTTTTCAAACCTCGGTATCCAGAGGATATGAGATACAAGTCGATCTGACAGATGTCAGGGGTATATAGTAATGGGGTGGGAGGTGGGAGGGTTATGGGTTAAGGGAGTTATGGGGAGAAAATTAAAATGATACGAAATTAGTGTTTTAAGAGAAATTGTAATGTTATATTTTCAAATTATGGAAATGTGTATTGTTTTAATTGAAAAATTAATAAATATTTAAATTATAAAAAAAAAAAAAAAAGAGAACCGGCAATTGCATTTCCCGGTGATCAGCGTGTCATTGGACACAGCTAATCACATGGTAAAAGGCCGCTGTGATTGGCCTTTTACCATTTCACGTGATCAGCTGTGTCCGTAGGACACAGCGATCAGGGAGATTGCCGGGGGGGCGCGCAGGAGAGCGCGTTCTGGGAGGACATCATATGACGCCCTCCCAGAACTGGCCGTCATTCGGCTATCTGCGGTTGGCAAGTAGTTAAAAACCCAGAGTGGAAAACAGGAGATAACAACAGGAGTCTACTAATCTGTAAGTGACAACTGATATTTCCTATTAGTAATATTAATATTGTAACTGGGATAATGAGTGCTAGCAGGGTTGGAGGTTTACTGCAGTGCACAGTGTGCTGCATATATGCAACAATGGAGCAACAGCTCCAGAACGGATACCGCTGCAACAGGGTTACCCTTCTGAAAGCTCACGTTAAAGATCTGGAGGAGCAAGTTGCAACACTGGGCAGAACCGACAACCTTGAAAGGGTGTTCTGCTCCCTGAGCAGGTAGCTAATGGGATTGACGTGGAGGGGCTAGTTAGGATTATGAGGTAGGAAGATGGGTTACTGTAGCGACAGGGAGTGGTAGGGGCTTACAGAAAAGGAAGGCAGGCCCTGGGTTTGTGCACCCAAACAGATTTGCCAAGCTGGGTGAAGATGTGGGGGTGGCAAGCTCAGGTCTGGCAGCCCTGGATGTCACTGCTATCTCTAACAGCTGGGAGGGCAGACAATCTGGGAGGGGTATTGAGGGTAGTGCAGGAAGGCCTAGGCAGTTGGTGGTAGTAGGGGATTCTATAATCAGAAGGACTGATAGAATAATTTGTACCTAGGATCACCTCAACCGAATGGTTTGCTGTCTCCCTGGTGCCAGGGTTCGGCATGTGGTGGACCGGGTTGATAAATTACTGGGCATAACCCAGCTGTCTTGGTCCATGTTGGAACCAATGACAGAATACATGGAAGGTGGACACTTCTTAAGAATCAATTTAAAGAACTAGACTGAAAGTTGAAGGGAAGGACCTCCAAGGCAATATTCTCTGAAATATTTCCTGTGCCATAAGTAACTCAGGAAAGACAGGGAGAGATTAGAGAACTAAATGCATGGCTAAAGACCTGGTGTAAGAGGGATGGATCTGGGTTTCTAGAGCACTGGGCTAACTTTTCATTGGGGTGCAACCTATATGCTAGAGATGGTTTGCACCTAAATGGAAGGGGGTCTGCTGTGCTGGGGGACAGGTTTATGGGGAGGCTCGAGGAGTATTTAAACTAGGATCGAGGGGGAGGGAGAATTAGATTATAATGGGGCAGACAGATCAGACAGGGGTCAGTCCTTATTGGTGGGTGGAATGGGCAAAGATGGTGGGAGAGCTATGGCAGATAAAAAGGTTCCCATGTTACAAACAACCATTGGAATTGGTACCATTTGTATGAAAATAAAAAAAAATATGCAAAATACGTGTGCACAAGGTGTCAATCAAAGTCTGCCAAGCAAAATAGGGGAGTTGGAAGCTTTGGTGCATGAACAGAACTATGATTTAATTGGAATTGCTGAATCTTGGCTTCATTCTTCCCATGACTGGCTATGTTCTCTTTCGGAGAGACAGGGTCAAAAGGAAAGGTGGTGGTGTCTGTCTCTATATGTGAGAAGTGATCTCAGAGGAAGTGTGAAAGAGGACCTAGTTGATGGAGAGTTAAGGTAATCATTGGAGTTTGTTATAGGCCACCCAGTGTTAATGAGGAGGTGGAGACTCAGCTCCTTGCACAGATCGAAAAGGCTGCAAGAGCTGGAACAGTGATAATAATGAAGGATTTTAACTACTTGGAAATTGACTGGAGTAATGGTACTGTAGGAACAGTTAAAGGGCAAAAATCTATAAACCTACTACAGGACAATTTTTTGCACTGTTCACAGAGGCCCCAACTAGGAATGATGCTCTGCTGGACCTGGTAATCTCGACCATGCAGAGCTTATTACTAATGTCCATATAAAATAACATCTGGGTAGCAGTGACCATAACATGATTTCATTTATTGTTAGCTGTAAACATCAAGCACATACAGGAAAAATAAAAATACTCAACTTTAAATAAGCACATTTTCCAAGGTTGAGAGAGCTGCCCTCCAAGATTTAGACTGGGAGGGAATATTGGCATTGATGAACACAACACAGAAATGGGAGTTCTTCAAATAGACTGTATGTGAATACACTGCAAAAATATATTCCCATGGGCAACAAGTTTAAAAGGCTAAAAATCAAACCTATGTGGCTTACGGCCAAAGTTAAAAAAGCTATAGATAAGGAAAGAGCTTTTATTAAATATAAAAATGAAGGAACACTATCATCGTTTAAACATTACAAAGAATATAGCAGAATATGAATAAAGGAAATAAAGGCTGCAAACATTGAAAACAAATGACAGATTGCAAAAAATAGCAGGACAAACCCCACAAAATTCTTCAAATATATTAACAGTAAAAAGATCCGGTCCGAGCATGTAGGCCCTATACAAAATAATCTAGAGTGGGTGACTTGGGACAAAGAGAAGGCAAATGTATTAAATACCTTCTGCAGCTCTGTGTATACAAAGGAGCATGGGGGAGCTCTTATCCATAATGGCCATGGTATTGACACAGCCCTAGATAATCCACATTGGCTCACAATTGATATGATCCAAAAATATTTAGACAGAATAAAGGTGAATAAAGCACCTGAACAAGATGGCATACACCCACGGGTCCTTAAAGATTTCAGCTCTGTCATTTCAAAGCCATTGTTTCTAATTTTTAGGGACTCTTTAATGGCTGGCATAGTACCACTGGATTGGCGTAAGGCCAATGTGGTGCCTATATTTAAAAAGAGGGCCAAAATATTTACCAAGTAATTATAGACCAGTTAGTTTTACTTCCATAGTTGGGAAGATACTGGAGAGTTTAATAAAAGACCACATAGACGAGTTCTTGCTGGAAAAAATATTTTAGGCAACAGACAGCATGGATTCATGAAAGACAGAGGTTGTCAAACAAATCTGATTTTTTTTATAAGGAGGTGAGAAAAACGTTGGACAGAGGGGTGGCTGTGGACGTGGTATACTTGGATTTTGCAAAAACATTTGACAAAGTTCCCCCACACACGGCTAATGTGTAAGGTAAAGTCTATGGGCTTGGAAAAATCCATATGTAAATGGATAGAAAACTGGCTAAAATATCGTATTCAGAGAGTAGTGGTTAATGATTCATACTCGGAATGGTCTAGGGTTGTCAGTGGTGTACCCCAAGGTTCAGTGTTGGGACCCTTACTTTTTAATATATTTATAAATGATATAGGGTCTGGGATTAAAAATACCATTTCAGTCTTTGCAGATGACACCAAGCTATGCAGTGGAATAACGTCCTTACAGGATGTCTCCAACTTACAAATTGACCTCAATGCACTGTTTAATTGGGCAACTATGTGGCAAATGAGGTTTAATGTTGATAAATGTAAGGTTATGCATTTGGGGGCTAAGAATATGCATGCATCATACATACTAGGGGATGTACAACTGGGGGAATCAATGGTGGAGAAGGATCTGGGAGTTCTGGTAGATCACAAGCATAATAATGACATGCAATGCCAAGCTGCGGTTTCTGAAGCAAGCAAAATCCTCTCTTGTATTAAAAGAGGTATAGACTCCAGAGAGAGAGATATCATATTACCCCTGTACAAATCATTAGTAAGACCTCATCTGGAATATGCAGTTCAATTTTGGGCACCAATTCAAAAAAAGAACATTGGGGAACTGGAGAAAGTACAGAGAAGGGCAACCAAACTGATAAGAGGCATGGAGGAGCTCAGCTATGAGGTAAGATTAGAGGAACTGAATTTATTCTTTCTTGAGAAGAGATTAAGGGGGGATATGGTCAACATGTATAAATACATCAGTGGTTCATATAGTGAACTTGCTGTAGTTATTCACCCTGAGGTCATCAGAGGACAAGGGGGCACTCCTTACGTCTGGAGGAAAAGAAATTTAATCTCCAAATACGGAAAGGTTTCTTCACAGTAAGAGCTGTGAGAATGCAGAATAGACTCCCTCAAGGGTTGGTTCTGGCCAGCTCAGTGGATTGCTTTAAAAAAGGCCTGGATTCTTTCTTGGATACACAGAATATAACTGGTAACATTTATAGGTAAAGCCTCTTAAGGAATCAGGAAGGGTTTTTTTCCCCTGCAGGAGCAAATTTGATCGTGCTTTGCTATTTTTTTTTTTATTTTTTTTTTTATGGTTGAACTGGATGGACTTTTGTCTTTTTTCAGCCAGACTAACTATGTAACTGTAATCGCACAAGCAGGAAATGATGTTTCTGGGGGCATTCTGAACACCTCCACGTAACCATATTGCATTGTATTTTACAGAAAATTACACCACTGCAGATTGAAAAGGAAAGGTCACTTTTAATAATATTCAATTACAATATGAATTGTCAAAATTGTATATGATATAACGATATATATATATATATATATATATATATTTTTTTTTTTTTTTTTTATTTGCTATATTTTTTCATGAAAGTGGATTTACTTTTAATTTTTGAATATGTATAAATGTAATTTGAAAATATTAATTTTGGTCATCAAT